TTTTAATGATTTATTGTAGCCATTTAATGTTCATTTCTTTAAATAATTTATTCTTTTCCTTATAGTTTGACCAAACAAGTCTTGGATTGCCAACAAGAGATTATTATTTACAACCGTCAAATTTTTATTATTTAAATGCTTATAAAACTTATATAATTAAAGTTGCCATTTTATTAGGAGCCGATTCACAAAATGTTACTCATGACGTCAATGATTTAATTTCATTTGAAACAAAATTAGCACGAGTAAAAAATTTCATTTTTTTTATTTACAAAAAATCTGATTTCTTACAAACAATTTCGTTTTGTTTTATTATTATTATCATTATTATTTTATGTTTTTAGATAACGTCCAGTGTAGAAGAAAGAAGAAATATATCTGAATTTTATGTAAAAATGTCGTTATACGATTTGAAATCAGAAGTGCCAAAAATTGATTGGATTCGTTATTTAACAATTGTATTAGCTAGAAAAGTTGAATTAGAAGAAAATGTTGTCGTTTTTGCATTACAATATTTTAAAAATTTAGTTAAATTACTTGAAACAACATCGTCTAGAACAATTGCTAATTATTTAATGTGGAGATTTATGAGACATAGAGTTAATTATTTAGGTAAAAAATTTCAGGTGCGTCCAAAAAAAAAAAAACAAATTAAAATTTTTTTTAAATTTTTCATTAGAATTTGAATATTAGTTTTGAAAATTTGAATTCCAGGATGCAAAACAAGATTTTTATTTGGTTATGTTTGGAAGACAAAAAGCTCCTCCAAGATGGACGACATGCGTTTCGCAAGTAAATTCCAACATGGGTATGGCACTTGGCTCCATGTTTGTGAAAAGATATTTTGATGAATCCAGTAAAAATGACGTTAGTTATATGTACTATCGTTTTGAATTTAAATACTTATGCAAAAATTAAAATATTTAAATTTATTAAAATTTCAATTACAGACGCTGAATATGACCCATGACATAATGCTTTCTTTTAAAGATATTCTCAGTTCTGCCGAATGGATTGGAGAAAAAACAAAAATGTTAGCTCACGATAAAGTAGACGCCATGATTTTGAGAATTGGTTATCCAGATTTTATTTTAAGTGATGATGAACTAAACGAATATTATAAAAAAGTGAGTTAAAAGTTTGAATAAATGTTCAGTTAAAAAAAAAAAAATAATTTTCCAAACTTTATTTATTAGTAAATAATTAATTTCCAGGTCAATATAAGCAAATTTTTATATTTTGAAAATTCTCTTAATTTAATTCGTCATCTCGCAAGACTCGAATTAGATCGTTTAGATACGAAAATTAATAAAATGCAATGGAATACTCCTCCAGCTGTAGTAAATGCTTATTACAGCAGAAGTAAAAATCAAATAAGTAAATTAATTAATTTTTTTTTAATTAAATAAATACATAATAATTGAAAACTTACGTGAAAATATTAAAACTTTAATGTTTATAAAAATTTTAAGTGTTTCCGGCTGGTATTCTTCAACCGCCATTTTACCATAAATATTTTCCAAAATCACTGAATTACGGAGGCATTGGCATTGTTATTGGACATGAAATAACTCATGGATTCGATGACAGAGGAAGACTGTTTGACAAAGATGGGAATCTTAATAGATGGTGGGATGAAGGAGCTGTTGAAAAATTTCACGAAAAAGCTAAATGTCTCATAGGTAAATAAAATATTGATGTAGTAATGTTATGAGTGAAAAATTAATTTCTGAACAGAAAAAAAAGATAACTAAATGCTGAACGTTTTTTTCTAATAGATCAATACAGTGCTTACACCATCAGAGATGTAGACATTCAAATCAACGGTGTGCACACTCAAGGAGAAAACATAGCCGATAATGGAGGAATAAAGCAAGCATATAAGGTAATTTATTTATTTTTTTTTTCAAACATTTTGAAAGAATCCCAAAAATGAATATGATATTTCAATATCAATAAAGATTTGGTTAGGAAATTTATATTAGTTTTAAATAGATAAAAGCAATGAGTTGGTTTTTTTTGTTTTTTTTGGAAAATTACATAGTTTCAAGTGTAAAAAACTTTAAAAAAATGTTTGAAATATTTTAATAACAGGCTTATGAGAAGTGGTTAAGTCAAAACAATGACAAGGATGAAACTCTTCCAGGAATCAATGCAACAAATATTCAATTATTTTTTTTAAATTTTGCACAAATTTGGTGCGGGGGAATGAGACCAGAAGCATCGAGAAGTAAATTGAAAACCGCTGTGCATTCTCCTGGAAAATTTAGGTTATTATCTTTTTCTTTTCTTACTCATAAACTTATTAGCAAGGCATGAAAGAATTTTAAAATTCAAATATACTAAATTATTACTTATTTGAAAATATTGAATATTTCAATAAAAAGACATTAAAATAAATTTGTTTTAAAATGTTTAATTTTGCAGGGTAATAGGTACATTATCAAATTCTGAAGAATTTGTTACAGCTTTTAACTGCCCTCAAAACTCAACTATGAATATATCGCCAAAATGTAAAGTTTGGTAATGGCCTTATAAAAATTTCTGAAAATAAATTCTAATAAAAATAAATAATAAGAATAACTTTTTTTTTTTTTTAAAAGCACACAAAAAAAAAACTATGGTACAAATGTTTTATTTTATTTCAATAATTAGTTTACTCGTAAATCAATTGAACTTTCCCTTAATTTGTATATAAATGTATAAAAATAATTTAAAGTTATAATTATCTTTTTTTTTAATTATTATTATTTAAAAAAAAATAATATAGAATTAATATTTTTAATTTTCATGAAAAAATAAAAATTTTTTAATTTCATCAGGTAATTTTGAAGTTTCTATCATTTTATATGCCAGCCAATTATTTTTTACAAAAGATCTTATATAACGGCGTAAAATTATTCTGCAAATTTGTTTTAAACTTAATACATTTTGTTCTAATAATGCCAATGTTTTGTCAGCTAAGTCGTTTGTTCTTGTACTTTCATTACTTTTGATATTTTTTAAAACAGACAAAACAGAGAGTTTATTTGAAAATTGGTCCCCTGAGGAAATGCCCATGGTTGCTAATTGATAAACAAATAAATAATTTTTTTTCAATTCTTCCTCTGACAACAAATAAAAAAAACTTTGAAAAACATCTTCTGGTTCTAAATGAAAATTATATTTGAAACAAATTTTAAATTTATCTAAAAGAATTGGTAATTCCCAAGAGCAATTTAAAATAAATTGTATTAGACTTCTGCAACTTATTACTTTTAATTCTGTTGGAAACTGACTCTGAAGAAGTTCTTCATAAAAAATAACATTTTGTGCAAACAATAAAATAAAAAGAGGAAATTCACAATAATTATTATTTAGGTTTTGGATGGCAGTGGAATCAGTTAGAGATAATAATACTTTGAATACATCTATATTACTCAAAGCAGAATGTATAGGAAGATAATTCTCTAAGTCTAGGTAAATACCTTCATTGGCATCATCAACATTTGGCAATATCGCTTTGCATACTGTATTAACATTTGCACCCAATTCAAGAAAAAGTTTCACCATTTCTAAATTTCCATTATATGCTGCATAAACTAAGGGAGGAACTTCATCATTAACCTTCATAATATTTTTATTAGTACTTAAAAATATTTTAACTGCCTGTGAAAAATTTGAAAAACAAGCTTCAGAAAATGCAGTTCTATTAAAAGTATTTTTAAGAAATAAATCACAAATGTTCACAAGATAACTAATTGTTTCTAAATCTTGAGAGACAGTCACAGCAAAATGCAGAGGAGTAAATTTTTTTATATCTTCCTGAGCATTGACATCAGCACCATAATGAATTAATAATTTAATAATATCAATACAATTTTTTTTAAGGCAGGCTAAATGAAGGGGAGATAATTTAGTGTGTGTACAAATATTTGGATCTGCTCCAGCTTTAAGTAATGTCCTAATAATTTCTAAAGAAGGAGACTTGGTTTTTAATGTAAGCATTAAAGATGTAACATTTTCCCATGTTGTTAAATTTACAAGATATTCTTTTTTTTTTGCGTTTAATTTCAGCAAACATTTTAATGCATCAACTTGATTTGCTGCAGCACAGTAATGAATTGCACTCCATCCACGATTGTCGACCGTTTGGGGTAATTTTCCACTTTTTAACAGTGCTTTAATAGAATCCACATCACCATTAACAGCAGCCTTAGATAAAGGCGAAACGGTGTCGACATAGTTTAAATCAAATATACATTCATTCATACCTGTAAGATTTGAAACCGAGAATTGTATTATATTAAAGGGAGTGAAGTAATTTAGGCTAATAAGTTTCTAAATTACCGAAATTTTAAGTAATAAAATTAAATTTTGAAATCGATTTTGTAAAATAATGACAAACAATCAAATACATAATACCAAAATTTATTTTTAATAACGTAAATTTCTAACCCTTTTTGCTTCTTGAACTTTTGGTTGGTGCCACGACAATTTACTTTTATTTC